AAAAAAATGCCATTTTTCTGGAGCTCTGGAATACCTTTAAAACAGGATACGCAACCGCCCAAACAGGTGGTACACCTATAACTGCAGATAAGGTACTAGACACTCAAAATTTGGCTTGCTGTTGTACAAGCTGTACAAAAAAGAGAAGTAATACAGAATTTCAAAGTCCTACCTTAACAAGTTCCTTAAAGACAGCATGCTGAATCATTTTTCTTTTGTTGAGGCCAGATGCCATCTCTTCAAGATCAATTGCAGACCTGAGTTTAAGAAATGGTTTTAATAAAACCAAAGCCATGAAACACTATACAGCTTATTTAAGCTAAAAACATATTATTTGCAATGAGAGCAGCATTCTGATTTGTCTTGATTTTTTTTTCTTGGTAAAGTGTATTTTTACAAAGTGACATGTTCTGGAGACATTCCTTTTGTATGAAGGACACAAACAATTTACAGGAACACTTGCATGTTTCAGACTAGCATCTACTTGAGTTACGTATCTGAAAATTGGGTAGCAGTACTGGTCATATGTGCAGGCAGGTTATGCTACATAGAACATGCAAATATAAACTGTCTAGAACTTATCCATCAATTATATCATTCACTAGACAGCAACGCTTTTTTCCTGAAATATAAAAATAGCAGCAATAACTGGCTAAACTTCTTTTAGAGAAAGATTCTCTTGATAACTGTTATTTTTCTGTGATCTCAACCTACAAGTTTTACAGAATTTAAAAGTCAAATTCATTATTTTGATTATTTTACTTACTTGACATTTTCTCGGAGCTGCTTTACTAGTTTGATATTAACATCAGCTTCCAGTAATGCTGTACATACTTCTTTTAACATAGCATTTAAAACCTTTGGAGTGCAAGAGAAAAAGTTTTACAGTATACTGCATGGGCTATCTTGAAAGGAAAGCATTCAGAATAAAATCAATTCAACATATAATCAAGGCTACAAATTAAACGCACATTATATATCACAGGGAAAAGTTTACACTAAAAGTTGCATCTCCTCTGACAACCTCAACTCCTGCTAGCCTACAACACATCTACGTTACACAAGTCTCAGATCTCTGTTTGGTCTTACAGCCTACATTCAGCCCACATTCAGCCCAAACCTAAGCACAGATTTTCATTTACAGGCTCTCCACCTGTCTGGCCACCAGGCTCTAGGACTCTCTCAGACATAGTGGATCCTATGGCTAGATAATACATACCTGAAACTAGTTCTAGGTTTTTGGAATACTAACATGGAGCTACAAATCTTTATCTAGAAAGAGGATACCTATAGAAAGAGAAGGTTTAAAAATAACATCAACCTACTTCAATTTCTCATTAACATAGTGTGGAAAGCAAAATTAGCCTAATCTGTCAGCATTTCTGCTTTCTAAACATTACATTACATATGCATATTACATACCTCTTCATTGATAATTGTAGCATTGCTCAGCGAGCGCAATGCTGAGGTTATTTTTCTTCCAAGATCTGCTAGCACCATTTTGGCAGCTTCAAACACAACTCAGAAGAATCTGGAAAGCATTTAAAAAACAATTTTAAAATAGTTTAAGCTATACCTCCTCAAATGATTTTTTTTTCCAGAATATTTTGGGTTAAGAAGCATGCTTTGCTATCCCTGTCAAGTGCTCCACAGAAGTTGAACTTTTTTTAAACAGTTATTTTTAGCAAATATGACCTGAAGTTAATTCTAGGCTATTCTAACGGCCTACTTAAAACCAGAAATAACATAGTGCAACTAGGAAGTATTTTATTGTATGGTATACATGTATACCTGGTTCACCATGAAAAAACAGTCCAGACAGATCTCCAGACAGAATGTTAATTACTTTTTATCTTCCTATCAGCAATACATTTCATGATACAACAAAATCAAACAGGATAGCCCAGAATCACTGCTTTCTGCACAGGCAAGATGATCAGAAGCAATACAATTGGCTAGCAAGGCTGAACATTATTGATCAGTTTATTTACCCGACCTACTAGAAATCAGAGCAGATCTCTCCTTCTGATAACCCTACGAACACGCATGAACACGGTTTTAGTGAGCAAATTTTATGTTCTTAGGACTCTCTTATCAGAGCTCAGTTTTTGTTCATTGCAGATAAATTTTTCCATATTAGCTCAAACTATGCCTTAACTTAGAATGAAAAAAAACAACAATCCTGAAAGAGATGCATAACACACAAAACCACTCATCCTCCTTTCAGCCATACAGCTGTTTCATGGGAAGCAAGCAAAAGATGATGCAATAGCCAATACACAGCAGTATCGATTAGCTACATAAAAACTTAACTAGTAGACGTTAGAGAAAACAGACAAAAAAAACCTCATTTTAACAACGATCACAAAGAAACAGAACATAGTAGTGACTGAAAATGGAGTCATTAAATTACACTTAAGTGAAAAAGAAGCTGGGGGGCATTAATAAAGACAGAAAGAAACGAGCAGAAAAATTGAGAAAAACATTGTAAGGAGACAGGATAACTCAAAAGAACACTCGGCAAAAGCAAGCTAGAACTCTGAAAATGGTCAAACTAAAGTTTGTCTGCAGAGCACAGAAGTCCCAGTGAAATAGTTACTGCCTGAAACAAGATCTTCTCGGTCTTATCTGCTGTTAACTTCACAGCTGGTTTCTCACACCTAACTGAAACTACCCCCTTGCAAATAACAGAATCAGATTTAGATTCTTCCTTTCAAAATTGAAAGCAAACTTACAAATATAACTAAAGTTTCTGTAATCAAAGTGGTTGACTTTAGAAAAAAAAACAAAAAGAAAGAAAGATTCGGGAGGGAGGAACAGAAAAAAGGTAAGAAAGCCTAACCCACTTAATAAAAAGCATGTGTCATTAGCTACACTTTTTACTAACTTGAGAAAGGAGACTAGGGGGAAGACAGGATGGAAGGAAACTTTAGAACATGCTCACAGAAGTTTTCCACCAGAATTACAAGCTCTAAAAAAGAAGACTTACCATATGCTCATAAATAAAGAAAAAAAATACACAGTACACAATACAACAAGTCTTTCTTGCAAGCTGACGTCCTGGGTGTTTTGCTTAGTTTAGAGTTAACACTCACATGGAATTGTCAGGTTTAAAAAGCAAACAAACAAGCCTCGATGAAACAAGAGGAAGCAGCCAGCCTAAGTCCTTCCAGCACAGGGACAAAACAAACCCCCAGAAGCTTCAAGATGTAAATTCAACCTAAATACTGGCCTCAGCTGTAGCAAATGATACTTATACTTACATACTTCACAGCAAATGCAGATTGCACCTACTAAAGAGTCTAGAGACATGCATCTTCATTAGACATTACGAATACTTAATACCCCTCTCCCTCAAAAAAAAAAAAAATATCGCTTACGAGGAGCTTTGCTTGCAAGATACTTGAGAAACTTGTATCGTTAACAGTATTATTAATTTTCCTCACTTACTGAGAACTTTTGACTGCAGAGTTAGGGCAGCCCTTTCCTCATCTGATGTCTACAAGCTCAGTTCAAAGCATTCCCAAGCACTTTGTGACGACGCAGTCCAATTACTGTAAGCAAACAAGAAAAAAAACACCACACCGAGAGGCGCGATTCACTCCGGCGTTTTAACACGCTGCTTCCCTAGCGCATTAACGCCTTGTAAAGCACCAAAACCACGGGGAGGCGCCCAGAGAGCGGCCCCTCCACGCGGGCACTCACCGGCAGCGCGGGGCCCGCGAGCCGCCTCCGCCGCCCCGGGCACCAACGGCCGCAGCGAAACGCCCCCACACGCTCTCACCCTCCCCCTCACCTCGCCGCGCTTCCGCTTCCAGGACGCGCGTGGGGCCCCGCCCCCGTTAAGGGCGTCTTTGAGAGCTGCGCATACCTACACACCGCAGAACACCATGCCTCTCCGCGCGCCACCTTAACGGGGCAGCGCCAGAAGGCATGCGCACTGGGAGGCAGGGGGCGTGGCTCGGGCGCGGCACCACCCACGTGCATGCAGCCCAGACCAACGCGCAGACCGCGCTCTGGGCATGCGCACAAGGAGGACTTTTAAAGACCCGAGTGAGGGAGGACTTCTAGGCATGCGCACAAGGCCGATAGGCCGCGGCGACCCAGTCCGCATGCGCACGAGGGTGCAGG